GGCGCGGGCAGCGGCGGCGGCGCGGACAAGGGCGAGCGGCGCCTGCTGATCGTGCACGCGGCGACGTCCAGCACGTACCCGCTCACCCTGATGGAGGGGTGGAACTACAATCTGGAGTTCTTCGCGGCGCACCCGCCGCCGTTCTCCATCACGCCCGGCTGCCTGCCGCGCATGACGGACGCGTTCTCGCCGAGCGACGCGCGCGTGATGGCCTGCCGGTCCTGGACGGGGTGGAAGGTCTGGGTCGTCTGCAGCCTGCTCAGGTGCGCGAAGTTTTAAGGGCACCCCCCACCGCGGGCCGCACCCGCTTGGTCAAAGTCAGCGCTGCTGTGGGAGCTGGCTGTTTGTCAAACTGCTCCCTGCCGCCCGGCTCTGCCTCACCCCCCGTGCCGCGCTCTCACACACCCATGCGCGCCCGCTTATGCCTCTTCCCCCCTCTTTGTTACAGGCTGTTTGGGCGCGAGAAGGAGGCCAAGAAGCTGGAGGTCGGCTTTGAGACGTTCTGCGTGCACAACAACTCCAAGACCGACCGCGACCTCACCTTTTCCACCCAGGCGCTCGTCGCGCTGGAGGCGCGGCTCGAGCCCGCCGAGCGCAAGCACTACCTGCTCGTGTGGCGCCCCATGCCCGACGGCTGCGGGGAGCCGGTCAAGGGCGGCGCGCTGGCGGCCGTAGCGGGGGACATGTGCTGGCGCCGCTACTGCCACACGCAGATGGCGGGCATCTACAGGATGCTCTTCAACACGAGCATCCCGGCGGTGGCGGCGATGCGCCACGCGATCGGCGGCGGCACGCTTAATGCGGACGTGCTCAAGGCGGCGCAGGAGGCGGCGGCGGCGATCGGCAGCGGCAACGCGGCCGCCAAGAGGCACGCGCCCATGGGCGCCGTCAGCCACGTGGTGGCGCACGACTTTGCGCGCATCCGGTGACGCGGCCGCGGCCGGCCGCGTGCGCAAAGCCAGGCGGGGCGCGGCCAAGGGGGCTGCGCACCCGCTGGGCGTCCAAGGTCGCAGGCCTGGACGGTCGCGCCGTTGACCCAACCCCATGCTGCCTGGCCTAGGGAGGCTGGCGCGCCTGTGCGCGCGCGCGCATGCCCTGACCTCCGGGGCTTGTGCCTCTTACCACGGGACACAGGCTGACGCACTTCATTGCAGGCGGACCGCCATGCCCCCGGATTTCATAGCACTGGCACTGATAAGAACTGACCCACGCTCGCGCCGCGGCCGCGACCCCGGCCCAGCACGCGCCGTTGCGCGGGGGGCCTGCTGCCTGGGCCGCACCCGCTGTGGTGTGCGCCCCCAACGCTCTCCCGCAAATGACAACCGCGCCCTTTGACCAAGAGCGCGCGGGCTGCGCGGCCGCGCCCCGCCGCGCGCGCGCGGCGTGCGCACACGCGCGTGCCTCTCTCCTCGGGCTCGAGCTTACCGGCCAATTCATTTGTTGGCGCGCGACAGCCCGGCCCGCGCCCGCCCACCTTTCCCGCTCGCCGCGGCGGGCGCGGGCGCGGCCGCCACACACCCCCCGTTGTCTCTTTGCTCCTCGCTTTCGTGTCTTGAGCTGGAAGGGTGTTGTGGCCGCCCCCTGGCGGTGGTGGGGGCGGCGAGGGGCGGCGCGCGCCTGCGGCACCTCCAAGGCGTTGCGCCTGCCGCCCCTGGTTTTCCGACAGCAGGAGCAGTCAGCTGCTCACCAGCCGATACCCCCCTCACACCCTGGTCACGGTTGGCTGCATGTCAAAACCAATTGAGTTTGCGTGCAGCCGTCTACACCCTGATTCCGCCAAACCCTGTGCATGGCAGCGCGAGGACACAAAACGTCACATTGCGAGCGGCGCCGCCTTGCGCGAGCGGCGCCGGGCCCCGCGCAGATGCCAGGGCGACGTGCGCCGGCGCATTTGGTGGGATACTGCGCAGGCGCCCGCCCCTTGGACCTAGCGACGGCTCGGCCTGGCCCGTGGCGGGGGGCCACGCCCTCACCAGTGATGCTTGGCCGCCGCCGGCCCGCGCACATGCCTGTCCGCACCAACGGACAAAGGCCGTGGCCCGGCATGAGCAAACGCGCTGCCGCTCTTGGCCCTTGCGCGCCGCGGCCTCCCCCGCGGCCGCCCAGCCGCACGCCCCCGCGCGCGCCCGCCTCGGGGCGCCCCCGCAGCACGCGCGCCGACGGGCATGCCGTCGCGCTGCGAATCGCGCGTCGCATGCGCGGGCGCTGCGCCTTGGCTGCGCGGCCGCAGGCCGCACCAAAGGGGGCGCCCACGGCGCGGCCTCAGCCGTGCAGCATCCTCTGCAGCATTCCGCGCGCGATGGCCCGGATGGCGGGGGAACCATACTCACGCACTCGCGCACACACTTCCGCTCATGCACTCCTCCAAACGCCCGGGCACGCGAGCGGCCGCCGGCGCTCGCGCCGCCTACAATTGAATCGATCGGCGGCGCCACGCCCGCCCGCCTGCCCGCCGCACACTTGACTGCTTTGGGGCGCGCGCAAACGAAAACAGAGCCCGAAGAGATGGCATTTTCCGTGACGCACCGACCCTCGTTCCTCGGGGCCGCGCCGCCGGCCCCCTTAGCGCGTTGATGGCCTGTGGTGGTAGCTGCCGCAACCGGCACTCTTAGCCTTACCCGACACGTGTGTAAATCTTGGCCCAATGCAGGACACTCGTGTTGCGCGCGCGGTCCACCAATCAGCGGACGCCGAAAACATGAAATTTTGGTCAGACGTTACAGGCCAGCAGATTAACGGTCCTGGCGCCCTGTGGCCGTGCCCGTATCTCCCAAGGATTGTGGTAGTAGGCATGCATGTTGGGTCTTGCGACCGCGCTGCGGGGGCGCATGCATGGGCAGGCGTGATCGGTCTGCTCCACAGTCCTGCAGATCACGTGAGCGGGATCATCCTGCGGCGCTGATCATTTCAGCTCTCACATACTGCAGTGCAAACACAAGCACTGCACACTGACGCACACGGTGCAGCGTAGCCACTCGCAAGCCACCGCACCCGTCCCTGGGCCGGCGTCGCGACTCTGACGCACAGCTGTGCTTGCGCACTCTGCGGCCATCCGAGCAGCCGTTGACGCGGTCAATTGTCGCCGCGACTGACTGGTGGTGGCGAGGGCGGCCCGCCAACGGATGCCTCCAAGGGGGGCGCCCCGGGCCGCGCCCATTCCGCCGCGTGCTCCTCCACAAACGCCTGCAGCCCCCTGGGCCGCCGCCGCAGCGCCTTCTCAAAGTCTGCAGACAGCGGCGGCGGCCGGCTGACCCGGGGCAGCCAGTGCGCGGCAAGCGAAATCAGGACGTGTGCGGTCGAGCGCCGCGCCGCACGCAGGCGCAGCGCGAAGCGCAGGGGGCCGACGGGGCGGTACACCACTTGGCGGCCCAGCGCGCGCGACAGCAGCTCGCACACGCAGCCGTAGCCGGCGCGCTCCGACGCGATGTCCCAGGCGGCGCCGGCGCTTTTGGACGGGTGCAGCATTGCGTGTGCGGCGAGCTCGCCGGCGTCGCGGGCGTCTGCACTCGGCGCGGGGCGGTGGGGGCGCGCACGGGGGCATCTGTCGGTGTGGCTGCAGGGTTGGCTGGCCGGATTGGCGGTCAGATGGTTGTGTATGTGATGTCGTGTGGGTCGGATGTTGCGTGACAGTCGGCATGGCGAGCATGAGCATCTCGAACAGCAAGCACCGCCGCCCTTCCCATTGGGTTGCAAGGGTGCCGGTGCAAGGCAGCAGCGGGGTGCAGACCCCTCCTGGGCGCGTGCCGCTGGCACGGAAGCCGCGCGCCGCTCGGACTGGGGCGATGCGGCCCACCTGCCCAGTTGAGCTCTGCGCGCCCCGCGGGCAGCTCCACGGCGTGCGCGTCCCGTATCATGTCCAGCAGCGGCGGCCGCAGCAGGTTCTGGAAGTACCATGCCGGCCGCACGGCCGTCCACGCGAGGCCCGACGCGCGCAGCGCCGCCTCGACGCGCGCGTGCAGCCCGCGCGGCCGGCGCCCCGCCGTCTGCACTGATAACAATGCGACGTGGCGCACGCCGGCCGCAGCGGCTGAGGCGATGAAGGGCGCGTACACGCGCTCCACGGGGCCGGCAAACGGGCCCAGCCCCTGCACGCCGGCGTTGGCGGCGAGGTGCGGCGGGCACAGCATGAACAGGCCTGCGGCGGGCCGACGAGGCGGGCGGCAAGAGAGAGTCGAGAGGAGCGCGAGGTGTTGGTTGGCCGGGGTGGGGGGGGCATCCGCGGTCAGGGGGAGGGCGTGTCTGTAAGGTGGTCGCTGCTGAACAGCAGCCGTTGAGAAGCAGCCGCTCGCCGACAGCCTCCCAGTGTGCCCCGCCCCAGCCGCCCACCAGTGACACCGCGCAGCGCCGGGCCCCAGGACTCGGGCCACTCCAGGTCCAGGACTGGGCAAATGGGGTGCGTGGTGCGCACGCGCGCGCCAGCAGGTGTTTGCAAGGGTGGCGCTCGCAGCCGCATTGCGTGCCGCTCCTCCGAGGTGCCAATGCTGAGGCCCGGCCGGGGGCTTCCCTGCGAGAGCAGCCTCGATGACGGCTGCAGCGCGAAAAGCCCCGCAGCGCCTCACCTCGCTCGCAGGGCCCGGGGCTGCCACGCGTGGCGGCGAGCACGATGGCGGCCGGGGGCGCGTCCCGCCGCAGCGCGGCCAGCACGGCGCCGCCGACGTCGCTGCTTGCGCCCAACACCAGGAACACATGCTGCTGCTGCTGCTGCTGCTGCTGCTGCTGCTGCTGCTCCTGCTGTTGGTCGTGGACCAAGGGTGTTGATTCTGGTGCGGCTGGCGTGCTCACAGTAACCGCAGCGACCAGATGGGCGCCCGATGCCTGGACGGCCCCTGCCGGCAGCTGGGGTCCAGGACTCGCTGGGCCAGCCGCCTCGCGCTGCAACATGGAGACAGGTGTGATGTAACGATCGCTGGGCTCAGCCAGAAGTAGTCACTGCACTGGCAATGGCTGGCCGCATGCCAGCTCTGTCAGAGCTGCACTTCCCGATGCACCTGCCAATCTCGCTGATGCGTGCCAGCGAGTTGGCAAGTTGGCGCGCTCCGCAGAGCGGAGCGGCCTGTGCAGTGAAGCACAGGCCTACATCATCATTTCAAGCCATCCAACGGTCGCATGTAGACTCGCGTACACCAGATCATGCTGCACATGGGATGATCTACGTCACCTTTTAAACATTGAGCAATCTTTTTGAGTTACTGTTGTTGTAACAGGTGTGATTGCGGGCTCGACCGTGTCGTGCCATTCAAATCAGCAGGAAAGCGGGAGGTGCATGCTGTGATGTGACTGCCCTCTTTACTCCCGTCTTCGACTCCTTGCATGAATACAAACCCGTCATTACTCAATACTCACACGAGCTCGACCTCTTGTTCTTGTTTCGCGCATTGCTGCGCTGTCTGTGCTGCGCTCTCCGCCTTGCATCTTGTGGGAGGGCCGCTCGCCTGCCCAGGATGAGGGAACCGAAGCGAATATATCAGGTTGTGGTGGCCGTGACCCGCAGCTGGGGAATCGGCAAGGACGGCGGGATGCCGTGGAAGCTGTCGGGCGACCTCGCCTGTTTTCGCCAACTCACGAGCCGTACGTCGGACGCCTCGAAGCGCAATGCCGTCATCATGGGCCGGAAGACCTGGGAGTCCATCCCTGAGCGCTTCCGTCCGCTCCCGGGGCGCCTGAACATCGTGCTGACGCGCTCCGCGCCGCCC